TCCTCGTCACCATTCTTTTCCATATCCTCTATATCCTGTTCCTCATCCCCCTTGGCATTAGAGGCTTCGTCTTTCTTCTCCAAAGATCCCTTCTCAGTTTCCATGCGCATCAAAAGCCTTTCTAGCAGTTCTTGGCAGTCAATTGCAGTGACCATCACAGACAAACTGGACTTACCTTTCCAGCATCCAATGGCTATTGTTGACTCATCTACTTCAATGGAATCCGACGAGGCTTTGCCATCTGCAGATGTAAAATTTACTTAGGTTAAAAATTATACACATGAATATGCATTAGTTGTCCTTGACCACATGCTGCCATGTACCTTTCCTCAAAACTATTACACAGCATCCTGACATTAAGCCTGATGCTTTCTGACCGAGCTCAGCATCAACAAAATCTGCAAACTTGATACTTTTATATTGAAGAAGATGCTTAAAGTCCACCGGGGATGCATATACAATCTGTTTGGTGATGTATGGAAGAATAAGTGGCAATCCTTCTGATGATATCCGAAATGAACAGGGAGCCAAATTTCCTTCTCTTGCAGTTTGTCGTTCCTGTTGAGAACAAGAATAAATTAGGAAGAAATTGCTTCCAAATATTAGTAACACCAGATTGTCTAATATTTTGTTCAACAATCAAGGGCTGTACCAGAATCTTTAGCTTAGAGCACGAGGAACCTAGGATGAACTTATAAATATAACTACAAATTCGGAATCCAGCACTCACAATATAATAAGGTTCAAAATAAATGCATTTAAATATATTCTTTCTAACATATCTCATATGCTTTAGTTTCTCATTTAGGAGCATTCCATCATAGGTGTTCTCCTTTGTATTATATTTCTTCTTTTCTTTTGCCTTACAGATATTCCTTTGGCTATTTTGCACTAGCTCTTACACTCCACAAGGGAAGCTAAGCAAGAAGGATAACCCTGTAAACAGTTCTCTTGCTCATTATCTTAATTTTACACACACTACGATATTAGCAAGTGATCAACTTATCTATAGGCATGAAAGTTTTGCACAACTTTCTTTGCCTATGTCTCTATAAATTCGGAGCAACATTAATTTAAAAGAAATATAAATCAAATTTATCTGTGAAATACTTACGAACATCTTTAGCCCAATGGAGGTTATCTTAAGTTGCTGTCCAACAGAGAAATTCAGTTCAAGAACATCTTTGACTGACTTTGAGACATAGTAAATTCTCTTCACATGATTAGCATCACTGTTTCTTGTGACAAGGTGGCCATTAAAGGGAAATGATTCATCAATGCCATAGAATGTCTTTATGCTATTGATGGTGGCTTCATCTTTAAAGAAAACAACAGGGTCAACACCTCTCCACTTGCCTTGAGTCTGCAACTTCCTCTTTCCTCCAGCTTTCTTGGGATCAATTTCCTTATCACTAGGTGCTTGGGCTTCCTCCGATACATTTACATTTTCTTCACATGTAACGGATGGATCAAGTTCCAAAGAATCCCCATCTAGTTCATCCTTTATCAACTCTGCCTCTGAAGCTGCTTCAGAAAATGTCTCATCTGTACCATCTGCTAAACTAGCCACAATCCCATTTGTATCTTCAGTGCTCTGATTTTGTAATTGTACCTGTGGCTCATCATTCCTAGGGCCCAAGTCCCCTTCCAGACTATTAGGTTTTCCCTGATTGGCTTTTCAATAAAAGGGAACGAGGAACTATATTAAAAATAATAAAAAATTGAATAAACTGGAATTCTCTTATGAGGAAAGCCAAAGCAAAACATGGCAGCACAAGACTTGCTTCAGATCCTAAACAAAGTACAGGCCTCACATATTGCAAATGACACAAAACAGAGACA